GTGAAGTTTGAGCTCATCCGCGCCTCTCTACACTACACTGACCTGGGTCGCCAGTAGCAACAATGGAGCGCGCTCTGCTGGACAAACTAAGTAATTACACCATTCAGAAGCATTTAATCTGCGTTATATATGTTCTGTAAAAAAAAATTTCATATCGGCGGCATATTTGCCGATACCGATATATCTGCGACAGGCTCATATCGGCCGATAATATCGGGAAAGCAATATATCGGTCGGGCTCTAATTACAAGGTTTGACCTATAAATTGCTGTTTACATCAAATCAGATACTGAATACAACATGAAATACTGAATACCATGTTAAAGGGGTCCTATTATGCTTTTTCACTTTTTCAACTTTAGTTAGTCTGTAATGTTGCTGTTTGAGCATAAAAAAAGATCTGCAAAGTTACAAAGTTCAAAGTCCACTTCAAAAGGAGATATTTTATTTAACAGAAATCACTTTTCAAAAACACACACACTGGCCTTGCTAACCAATCACAGCACATTTCGTATTTCAGAAGGTGGGCCTTCATTTGATACAGGAACTAATCGAGCCGTTCATGCCAGACTGGAGATAGAGGTTTTGTAATAATGTAAAATATGTGAAAAATAATGTGTTTTTCGAACAACCTAGTATGAGAGCCTGTTCTAGTACACCCCCAAAACAAAATCAAGACTTTGTAAAAGAGCATAATAGAACCCCTTTAAAGTAGAATAATAGAGATTGATTGATTTCCTCTGAATTTCGACCTGTCCAACCCCCCAACAAATAAGATGTTTTTAAAAAACATTACCAGAAATGTATAATCAAGTGAACTCCAGCAGAGGAACATCTCAAGTCCAATTTTATATGCCCATTCCAATTTAGAACATGATTTATTCTTATTATAATTGGCTGATGTTTCATCCATCATTGTATGGTTTACAAAGACAGTCTGTTTAATAATAAACCTACATACATATTCTTACCATCTAAATTTTTTTGTTGTGCATTTTTCAAAAATAAAGTAAAATCGGGCTTGAAAGTTGTATTTTATGCTAATATAAGTAAAAAGAGTATCTTAACCTTCAGATTATGTTCAACTTCAAATGGTTAAAGTAAATATTATATGAGCCATTTTATTTTCTATTAATTTTATATGAGGCTTGCCATTTTAAAAGCCTTTTACCAAAGAGTGTTAATAGTTTAAAACACCAATGTATGTGATTATGAGATTTTCTAGCAATTAACGATAAATGAACACCAAACAGACATTTTTTAAACCATAAATAATGAATAAAAAAAAAAAACATAAACCAGAATATGTAACAGGTCATGGAACACTGCCTGCATATTTAGATATTAATCCTGTTTCAGCAAAGGTAAAACATGTTCTTGGGAAAAAAGTCCTATCAATCGCTCTTGTAAAGGGAGCCCATCAGCAATGGACAGATAGGTATAAATCTGAAGAGCAGCAAAACACTAGAAACTATTTTATATAATTTATGACATCACGTACAAACAAACACAGGGCCATAAACAATCAATCTCAAGTCTTCCATGATCAGTACATGTCTATAGCATCCTAATGCATAAGACATCTACAATCCAACAGCCATTTCATCTATTCAAGTCTCCATATCCCTGTTTGTGTCCGTCATAATAATTAAGGTACAAAATTGACATGAAAATGAGCAAACCGGTAGACATATAAAGGAAATGGAAACCAAGCAGAGACTCAGAGGGTCACAACAAAACAAGGACATTTCATCCAGTTTCTATAGCAATTTGCCAAACACTTTTGATTACCTTTACACACACATAAAGCATCAGTCTTTAAAACTCAAAATGTATATGCCATGATTCTTAAATCTCCTTGATTATATTAGCATCTAAATCCTCTAACACATTCCATGCAATGGCTGAAACAAACATAAAATATAAAAATGAGCTAACAGCTTGTGATACTAATGTTATATTTATGTTGTTGTGATTACATTTAACCAGACTGAATACAAATAAATAAGCCTTTCAAATCTGAATACTAAAACAAAATGATGCAGCTCATTTTCTGCATTGATCTGAGTCAGTGTTTAGACACAGAATATGAAATCTTAATTTGAACTACCCCATATGCTTCAATTCACCAGCACCAATACCTAACCAATTAAAACCAATCTCATCTGCAATTTGAAAATCATCAGGCCTAAATATTTCAGAAATGTGCAAAAGCACGTCATAAATTTAAATTTGATTCAGAACTTAAAATGCCAGTCAAAGCATAGTTAAAGCGCATCGTCCTTGGGAATTCAAACAACTATTAGCAATGCACAGCCAGTGTTCCTTCATTAATCAGCACTAATTAAGACTATTGATTGAAACAAACATCAGGATTTCCAGCTGAAAGGGTTTACTAGACTGTAAACTCTACAGGCGATGGCACAGCAAGGAAAATATCCAAAAGATTTGCCTTTGCCCTTGGTTCAGGCTTCACTTTGCAAACCAGCTCAGAAAATTAAACCAAAAATGCCCCTGCTTCCCTGTCATTAAGTGCTGTCAGGACGAATCAGAGCTCACAGGCCAGTGGTGCTGCACAAAGCAGCGCTCAGTCTCTCATTGTTGAGCCTCCTGTCTTACTCACACACATGCATGCTCAGTCACACAGAAGGTTAGGCTTGACAACAACATGCAGGACTCAAAACATAACACATCAAGATCATATTGAACTAGTGGTAATAGGTACAAGCAGTCAACATCATCAAACATTATCATTATTTTCATATTTGCTCTAAATCTTGTACATTGTTTATTTAGATATTGTTGTTGTAATACTATATTATTCATGATTCTCTGGTCAAATGTAGTGTCTGTATTTACATAATAACTAAATATTATATTGGGAGAAACAAAGTTTTGCACTTTTTACCTTTTAAACCTATTCAGCAGTCCCGGAAATAACTTGACTCAAGACTGAGCTGCATTTAAATTTAATGTGTAATTTTTACAATATGCACATATTAATAAATATTCATGCATTGGGGGGAAAAAACTAAACACAACAATGCCTTTTTTCAGTTTGTCTTAAAGGAATAATTGGGCAGAATAAATAGCAGTCAAATAATTAATATCTTCTCAACAAGACTGCTGTTTAATTAGGCTAAAAGCTCAAGACTGGAAACAAAAGCTGCATTACTGTATTGGCAAAGTACATTTATGACTTTTTGACAGATGGCTGTAATGCAGTCTAGGCAAGTCGACTAACCAACACGCAGGCAAACACAGCCCTAGATATGCCAGACAGACTGAGAAACAAATGAGAGTCAGACAAAACTGTGCACACATTTGCTTCACATGCAACAAAACCCATAATGTTTTTCCACATTCTGAATTAAATGCAGGTCATGCACACTTCAAAGACGAGTTCAAAACTGACTTTCATGTCAGTAACAGAAATATGCATCTTATTTTGCATCATAAAGGGTATTGGTCAGTCATCTTTATGACTTTAGTTTGCAACGAGAATCGAGAAAGTCAATAGTGCTGATGTTATGAGACATTTAACTTTTGACATTTAACAGCCAGAGAAAGCAACTGCCTCACAACCTGGAAAGCTCAGACATACATTTTCAAAAATAAAGTTACAACATAGACACTGCCAAATCACAAACAAATGATGTCCCCACAAAACAGCATACAGCGGCAGTCTTATGTATGATAATAAACACTGAAGGGCCAACCAGTTATATTTTATAGAGCTGTTCTTGTCTGTATGAAGGAATATTGTCCCTGACATTGTTGCTGGAAAAAATGACTCTACTATATCATCTAAACCGGATATATTTTTAGATTTAGAGAACTGCATCTGTTTGATAATGCACAGAGGCTCTGAACATCTCAATAAGGCTGTCAAATTGCTCAACAGAGCCATCTAGTGGCCCCAAAACTTTAAATCAAAAGTAATGAATGGAAAGAAGACGATCCCGAGCGACCGGTGCGTCGTCTCGTCTGAAATGCTTTATATGCCTTTAACAGAAAGAAAAAAAAACACAGTAACTTGCCTATTCAGTAAATGCTTGACTTATTTGTTAGTCTTCATTAGCATACATAAACTCGTTTTATGAATACCTGTTAATGTTTTACAATGAGAGCGTTACAGTTACAACCCTTGTAAATTACAGTGGCAAGACAAGGTTTCACAGAAATCAAACCATTACGAGTGGTTTGATAACGCAATACTCTATAATATTTATTAAATAATATTACGTCAGTAAAGATTCAGTTAGCAAGATAGAATATGGATAGATTAAGTTAGCATATTTGATTTTATTGACATATTGCCTATACGACAACGCATTTAGTTTTATTTATAACAGCATTTCCTAGCTAAAATAATTAGAGCCAGAAAAAGCTCGACTGAATGAAGACACTGACTGGAGAACTGTACTGGATACGATACATCAACTTTGGCTATAGGAGAAAATATACCACGCTTATAAATAAATTTAGACTGCAGCGATGTAGGTTGGCCAAATTGACAGCTCAAACAATCGATCTTGTCGCCTAAACTGAGCTAAAATGACATATGATAAAAAATACTTATCAATTTAAAAATAAATACATAACTTAATTTTCTCCAAACAAAACATTTTATTTACTTTCATTAGCGAGCTTACAGAATGAAAACACATGTAAATGTCGTATGTAGCCTATAGGGTATAAAAGAGTAGCCTAGGCTATTAAATATCATTAATGTCCTATATGTACCTTTATTGACCAGTTTAACTATCAACTGAAATTATACTCGAATAATAATGTTCAAAGACTAAATTTATAAAGTCGTCTGAGGCTAAATTTTGTAAGTAAGATTTTTTTCAATAGAAATTCAGCATGATATAGGCTATTCATCCCGTTTACTGAACAGCTTACATATGATTCAGCAACACAGTGCGTATATACATTTTAATTGCAGTTTACAGTGTACTACTATAGGCTAAAGAAGCGAAATACAAAATACATACCTTCTCCTGGTCCGTTTTACTTTCCCTGAACTGAAATCGCTGCTGGCTGTTCGTCCATAGTCTTCGTCTCTGGAATTAAACTCTCCACTTTCTCGTAAGTAATTTATGACAGCCTACATGAAGAAGAGTCCTGGAGTGTCTTTTATAAATTTCGATGGACTGTTCGCCTTGTCAGGCTAGTGTTGTCGGAGCGCTGCGCTGCCGATCATCCTCTGTAACCGACACTGTTGCGGAATGTTTCTGCCTCTCGCGCGGCCTCATTTTAAACTCACGTGACGTCAGAGATCATGGTGCTCAGACTGCAAGCGCTTAGTAAACAACACATTTACGTTTTGTTGGAGTAATTAAAATACAGTTCTCGGTTAACTTTTACCTTAGTGTCACACTTAAAGCAAAACCACAATAGTAAATAGAGTGGGAAAAAACGTAATCATTAAATTAAATCTCACTCTGTTTACATGTTCCTCCTCTTGTGAGCATTAGGTATAGAGAATGAGGAGTTACGTCACGATCTTTTCACTCCGCATTGCATTTCGGGAAGGCGCCGCCATATTAGCAGGATACGCTATCCGTTCCCATGGTTACTTCTCATTCTCTATAAGGATAAATGCTTATCTTTTGTTTTGTTTTTGCCTTTAAGTTAAACAACCATTCATTCTTCATTGTATCGTTTGCAGGGAAGAGAAGCTATTTTATCGCACTGCATGATATGCACTGCATTTCTCTCTTAGGTTTTGTAGAATTTGGTTTACAGTGTTTAACGTTTACCCGATTAGCGTGAAAACAGTGTCGCATATGGCGTATAAACAAAGCAGTTTCCCAGAACTCAACGCGGCGTTACGTCACATTCTCATTCTTTATAGCCTATTGGCCTATTAAGAGTGGTCCAAAACCTGTATATAAGATTAGACTACATTAGATTACAAAAGTAAATATAGGTTGCAAATTAGTGTGTTGTATTGACTTTTAATGAACACTGAATACAGAAAAACAGCTCAGACTACAATTGTAGGCTACACTACCAATCAAAAGTTTTTGAACGTAAGATTTTTCATGTTTCTTAAAGAAGACTCTTCTGCTCACCAAGCCTGCATTTATTTGATCCAAAGAACTGCAAAAACAGTACAATTTTGAAATATTTTTACTATTTAAAATGACTGTTTTATTTTTGAATATATTTTAAAATGTAATTTATTCATGTGATTTCAAATCTGAATTTTCAGCATCATTACTCCAGTCACATGACCCTTCAGAAATCATTCTAATATTCTGATTTGCTGCTCAAAGAACATTTATTATTATTATGTTGAAAACAGCTGAGTATAATTTTTTTGAGGTTTCTTTGATGAATAAAAAGTTCAGAAGAGCAGCATTAATCTGAAATAGAAATCTTTTGTAACATTATAAATGTCTTTATCAAATAATTTCAAATATATTCAGATAGAAAGCAGTTATTTTAAATTGTAAAAATGTTTCACAATATTACTGCTTTTGCTGTATTTTGGATCAAATAAATGCAGGCTTGGTGAGCAGAAGAGAATTCTTTAAAAGGCATTAAAAATCTTACTCTTCAAAAACTTTTGACTGGTGGTGTAGGTAAAAATATATTCATCAATAAAACAAAATCTTTGTTTTCATCCATTTTACGTTTAATCATTTAATCCTTTCACAATGGATTTCACTGTACACAATATCTTCAATATTAATCTTAATGTCATATAAAATGATGAAATAAATCTAACCTTTAAGGCTATTGTGTTGATTAGGCTTGTCATTTTCCACCATCCTTTTAAACTTAATACGTTTATGAAGTTTATTTTTATTGATAATAATAAAATACACAACAGTCGGTTTCTTCACCCAGCAGTGAGTATATAAAAGCCACCATATACGAGCAGAGTACTAGCCTATATCCCAGGCCAATCCTTTAACAGATCCTTCATGATAACTTCATAATATGCTACACAAGACAGGATAATGCAGACAATAAAAGATCTTAGTTTTTATCTGCAAATAAAGCCTTTCACAGATTCCAGATCTACACTGAACACGTCTTGAATAAAAATGACTTAGGACGAGACCATTTATAACAGTGAATCAATTTCAGCTAATAAATATCATTTTCTGTTTTTGCTTACTCTTTTTCAAACTTTCACATCATTAATTTGACAACTCTTCAATTTTAATAGTATCTGATGTTCCTAAGAGGACATGATTTCTTTCATACCTAAATGCAAATTCAGTAATTATCCAGATCTGCGTTTTATGAAATCACAGGAGGGAGCCTATCAGAATAGCTGACAGAGCAAATCTGCCTGTTGCACCGAATTGTTGAGTAAGTTACTGATAAATTGCTTACAGCTATAGAAAAGGCTATAGTTTCCTGTTTACACTGCATCACAATGTTGAGAGTCAAGATAGATGCACTTACATTCTTATGCCAAAAATGTTGGCTAAACATTTTTCTTATCATGCTTAGTAAGGCCTGGTAACGCACAATTGGCCTTAGAGTAATTAATTCTCTATTTGACATTCTCCATCAGAGTACAGATGGTAATAATATAGTACAGGAAAATATATAGCAGAAATAATATCAACCACAATAGCACTATAAACAGCAGATGAGAGGATGGCATGAGCAGAGATAAGTAATTAGGCTGAATCCGCAAAGCACAATAACTGGACTGGTTCCGGCATAAACATAAATAAATGCTGAGAAAGAAACCACTTTGGAAGGAGCAAAGGAGATGCATTTGTTTACTAAGCTGTAGACAGATTTAAGGCCTTGAGGGGTGTCGAGAAGATTTGTATAAATTTATGTTTAATCTCCAAATGGGGCTAGTTGCCCTTCCTGTGAAATGTGGTCTAAATAAGTGTCCAGATATTTGAACTTTATTTTTCCACTTCTTCAGGATAGTATTATATTGTATTAACAATATCATTTCACAACTGGTTTAACTGGTCCATCTTGCATGATAATAATAATCCAAGACTCTGAGATTGCAATATGGACAGGTATATGTCTTTTCCAAACAGATTTGATTTGTTTTATATAATTTTCAACTGGTTAAAATGTATGCTACAAGTTTTATGTGAAATCGTAAGTTCCTTAAACATATAATAGCTAACATTTCAACCATTATGTTAATGCTGGAGTTAATGATGTAAGACCAATGACCAAAATATAATGCATAATATATTGTGTTGGTTATGTGATTATTACATTATATACATTCAGTCCAGTGTAAATGCCTCACCACAGGCTGCTATGTTTCTATTAAAACAACACTTTTATGGAAGTTATATGGACTTGAGATGTTTGTTTTGCAGCAGGGACTTTGTTTTCATTTTAAAGCCAATTCAAACTTGTAATAGACAGTTACTTCCAAATTGCATGGAGACCTGAATGGCAGTACATTTAATATTTTTCTATAGGCCTGTATCATCTATTGCCAGGGTTTTCAACCAAGTACTGCAGGGCGTCCACACTCCATAGAGAAGAATATTCATAAACAAACAAATGTTTTAATGAAAGAATTTAAGTGTTACCAAGGATAAAACTTTACGAACTAGCTTTTTATATTGGGGGTCTGGGTCTGTAACGTGCAATTTAATATAGCCTACTGAAGCTGAATGCTGATAAATGATTGTTGAAATAGTTTTAATTAGCAGGCAAGCCTATTAAAAAGCATTGCGCAGTAATAACGCCTTTCCACCAGCAGATGGGGTCATTGCCCACACGCGGTCATGCTGTTCCGGAAGACAGATGTAAATATTTTCATGACGTAAAGAGACAATCTCTGGTACCCATCCTCTACTGTGTCGTCTACTCAGTTTCTTCCCTGAATAATCTATTCTTCGAAACAACCTTCACCCTGCCTGTCAGAAGACCATGTGAGGTTGTCGTTGACTGCATTCTGTCTTTATTTATTTATTGTAATGCAAACAGCGATTGGTAGGGTGTGATAGGCTATTCATACTGTAGCTTTTGCATCATTGCTCTGTCGGCGAGTGAGTTGGTGTAGTCCGCGGATCAGATTGCTCCTGTTTGAATTTTTATTTTTACTGCCGAGAAGCCAGCTATTAGGATTCATCATGCAAAAGAGGAGGAAGCCAGAGCCGATCCAGCTGAACCCAATTCCAGATGGGAACGCTATAAACGGAACCGGGGCCACAGAGTGAGTGGACTTGAGTCTTACGATGTCGTTTCGTGTCGAACAAGCTAGTAGAAGACTTCTTGAAACCAGAGTTGTTTTAATTCATGGATTGTTTGGCTCATTAAGAATATGGTTTGACTATGACAGGGCTGCTTAATAGATTTAGCATTGCTAAATCAGCTTGTATTGGCCATTAAATTGGTATTAGTATGGATATTTTTTAAGGGTGTGTTGGTTCTAAGACGTCAACAGATTTATAAAGCCCACGAATGAATTGTAAGCTTAAGGTGATTATTATTAGTTGACTTACATAACACCTCATATGATTCATTTTTGCGAAATGGGTGCCTTTTTAAGTTTGATAAAGTGATTTTAAAGTAAATAGATGTCAGATTTTAAACATTCTGTCAGTTAATCTCTTTGAGTGTTATTAAATTGCATTGTGCCATCTAAAGAAAAATGAATAAATTGTAATATATGTTGGAATATGGCTATGATATTTGTTACAGGTTTGAGAATAACAAGGTTGACAGTTTTACAGTTTTAGCTGTGTGTGTGTGTGTCAAAGCACCTTAATTCTAACAAGAAATGAGCACCAAATCAGCATATTAGAATCATCATCACAGGAATAAATTAAAATTTAAAATATATTAAAATAGAAAATGGATATTTTAAATCATAACAATATTTCAAAATTTTACTGTATTTACTAACAAATAAATTCATCCTTGGTGAGTATAAGCGACTTCTTTTGCCTCCAATATATAAAGTTATTGTTTTTTGGGCTGTGAAATATATATATCTGAAACATATCTATATTAACACAGGAAAAGTTGGTCCCAATTATTTATTAAGTAATTTTCTGAGGAAAACAAAACAAAACAAAATGCATGCTGTTTGTGGAATAACCCATGTATTATTGTTGTTTAGTATCCATGAGGTGCACATAAAAGAGCTGCATCGCCTGCCACTCAGATCAATGAGAATAGCTTATCACATTTGGACAGAGCTGCCAACACAACACCGCTCTTCTCTGTAGTATGTTGTCCAGACATAAATTAGGCCCAAAATGTAGTATTATAGGAGCAGAACTGGAGAGATAAAGCATCTAAAGTTGTCTGTGTGTTTACAATTTGTAGAGGCCAAAAATCCAGTGTTTTGTTGACCCTAATGTAAAACAGAAATGTAAATGAATGTGATATCATTCTCCGAGCCCAAGTATTATCAACCAGTTTACCTCAGTATGTGATTATTGAGGATTTAACTGACCACCAAATATAGATGCAAGTGACGGCGACGTATCGATTTGTTTGTCAGCTTCACATCCCCACTGATAGATATGGTGACAGAGGACCACCTCTGTCTGTGCTACCTTCATTTGGCAGGCCTGTGATTTTTCTCCTCTTGAAGCCAAGGCAGTGACAATCCTCACAGCCTGAGCCAGTGGTGCATGTCATTGCCTCTTGTTTCGTCGAGCTCACTTGAGAGCTTAGACACTTTTCCCCTCTTGTAGTCTCCATTTGGCATTAAGAGACTATTAATTATTTAGGATAAAGTTGCAGTCTTGTATATAGAAACTGGCTATTATTCGTACATAAATAATGAGTTGTGCTATAGTGCGATAGAAGAAGTGTTTGGGAGAATGACAGTAAAGCAGAATTACATTCCTTCCTGGAGAGCAGGACAGGCTGTGGCGAGCTCGCTTTGGAATGTGTGTGTGTGTGTGTGTGTGTGTGTGTAGCGGTGATTCAATCCTGTGGAAGTCAGTGTTATAGAGAGAGGCTCAGTGGAATGTTAAATACTGTGACAACGCTTTTTTTTCCCAGAAGCCTCTGCTTTAAATCTGTCGTGGCAAGCCTATGTCAAAGAGTGCAGTTAATATTATTTCTAAGTTCTTGCTTATCGCTTGTGAAGCACTTCATATGTATCACCTTATTCATGCATTTACAATTTGTAAATTAGGAGTAAACCAGCAACAGTATCTGCCTCCAGTGGAGAGTGAATTGATTTAGAAGCCATAAACAGCAATGAAACTACATGTTTTTTAAAGGGGCCATATGATGCGATTTCAAGTTTTCTATTCTGTTACACCAAATACACAAAATAATGATCTTTAAAAAAGCATCATATGACCCCTTTAAGACCCGACATGATTTTCTCATTCATATTTTCATTTTGGTGGCTTAAAGACCCTTTTAAAGTTTTAATAATCGTTAGAATTCTTGAAAAATAGGTAAGTCCACACCATAACTATAATGATAACAGCAAAGAGGAACAATATGGTTGAAATCACTTTCAGAATGATTTTTGATGAACTGATAAACGATAAAAATATTGACAGCCAGTCAGAATTCATTCTGACTTCAAGAGCTCGAGCATTTAAAGTGGCAGATGACAAAACTGCAGCATGCGCTTATAATAAACAGAATGATATTGTTCATTGGTGTGGAAGCTAATATAGTTATCATTTTATCTTTATAGTTATTGTTCTTGGTGTGAACAAGCCTCAAAACAATCCTACATATAGTATGTCACCACATGTACACTGGTGTTCAAAAGTTTTGGGTCGTTGACATTTTTTTATGTTTTTGATAAAAGTCTCATGCTCACCAAGGCTGCATTTATTTTTATTAAAAATACAGTAAAAACAGTAATATTGTAAAATATTATTACAATTCAAAATAACTGTTTTCTATTTTATTATATTTTAAATTGTAATTTATTCCTGTGATGCAAAGCTGAATTTTCATCAGCCATTACTCCAGTCTTCAGTGTCACATGATCCTTCAGAAATCATTCTAATATGTTGATTTGGTGCTCTTGGTTTCCTATTATTATTGATGTTGAAACAGTTGTGCTGCTTAATATTTTTGTGGAAACTTCTACATTTTCATTTGAATCACTCAAGTGTCAGACTTTATTTCTGGTGATATAGTTCTGTTCTTAAAAAGGTTACTGCAAATGACTAGTAAGTTTGTTTTATTTTCTTACCAAAGCCAGTTTTCTTTGTATTTGACACTTGCCAGTGCTAATTTTGTACCCTGCCAATATTGTTTCATCTCTCTTCAGTCTTCATTGGAAGCGGTTCCTCTGCTGCTATTGTTTCCCGCAAGCTCTATGCGGCATTGTGTCTTTTCAAGATTATCAGTAGGAAACCACACAGTGTTACAGTGTTACACAATCACACCACACACACACACACACACACACACACACACACACACACACACCATGGCACCATCTGCTGCTCTCCATTTTACTTAAGAGTGCTGCTGGGTGTATGAATGCTGCTATAGTGCATCAAGAAGAGCTTGATAATTCCCAGACATTCCCTAATTCTCTTCCTTTATGATGTTTATGTCTGAGATCTGTTTAAATTGTGGATTTACAAGATGGCAGCACAGATGTATCCACACAGGAGTGATTTATGGAGCGTAGTTAAAATTTGACCATAGAACAATCTCTGGTTTTGTGCTCCTCCCCAGAGAGAAATGGTTTGCTTCTGTCTAACCTCAGCTGATCCCGGGGCTCCCTAGTGTTTACATCCACATTCCAGTGCACGACATGTGATGTTGACCACTTATTTCCTGTGTTTGATCATACTGTATCCACACACCTCTTCAAAAACTCAAAAGAAAAAAAGTAAGAGAAGTTATGATTCTTCCAAGTACTGTTCTTGGGCCTTCAAAAGCTTTTCTGGTTTTGAATTTCAAACTATGAGCAGCTTTACTCTTCACTTTTATGCACTTTTTGTATCTCTCCTCAGAAAGAATCTGCCCTTTTTATGTAAACAAAATGGTGTATCAAAGGTTAGGCTAAATAATTAAATACTGTGTAGTAGTATTGAATTATTTATTACTTTCATACAAGTTGTTGCAGCATAGCATGCTGCGTTGTCACTACATTCTACATTAATACTGTGTTGCAAAAAACACCATCGCAATGAACAGTTTCGCTTTGTATTATGGTCAAAATAATAAAAAAATAATAATTTATGTTGTAAATATTTTTTGAATTAATGATTCAAATTTCAATTAATTTGTAAAATGTTATGAATTGATTTTGTTAGATGCTCTTCTTGATGATGAATTTTAATTTTAAAACACAGAATCCAGAACAATTCAAGTGAAAACACATATTTGGGAGGAAAACATAGCAGTTTGTTATGTGGAAAAAATTGTGGGAAAAAGAACCATATTCTTGCCTTGCAAACTTAACTTTTGCATTTTTTGTGATGTATTGGTTGGTTTTTGAAGGATCGTGTGACACTGAAGACTGGAGTAATGACTGCTGAAAATTCAGCTTTGCCATCACAGGAATGAATTATATTATAAAATATATTAAAATAGAAAACAGATAAAATTTAAATGGTAATAATATTTCACAATATTACTGCTTTTACTGTCTTTTTGTTTAAATAAATGCAGCATTGCTGATGCAAATTTATAAACCAATTTGCTGTTATGCGTTTTATAAACTAATTTTGCCTATTATAAATCAGTAATTTATGTTTTGCATTATATCATATTGTTGTAAATTTTTTTATAATTTTCTTTATAATATATTAAATAAAACGAATTTTCAGATAATACTGCAAAATAAAAAACTTTAAAATTTAATTAAAAAATTTATTGAAATTAAAATAAAAACAGTAATTTTTTAAACTTGAAGTGTTTTATATTATAATATATATTTGTGGTAGTGGTGGAGCCAGTAAAAAATGTTGGCAAGGCAATTAAAATTTTGAACTACTGGTCTGATCAGGCCAACAGAACAAATCTGGCAGTAGAGCTCTGTTATGAGCTTTATATCCTCTGTGGCTCTTCACATGGACTGAAACTGCTCTGGATAAGGCCTCCTACATGCAACACAAGGTTTGAGTTGTGAAGTATTTTTCTCCAATCTGGCATCTTCTGCGTCCTTCACCATTATCACGTCTCCACCGCAGCGTGTCCACGCCACCCACTTACACCCACACAGCAGCCTCGTAACCATGGTTATATCTGGCCTTGCTGTCAAAAATGAAAACACTTAGCCTCATTCTGCATATAGATGAGACAAAGACATCCTGGAGTACTTGTGCTGTTCTCATTCACCTGAGTCTGTCCTGGAGCTTAAATGTTGCGATATTTTGCAGACTGATCAGCAAGCTTTGATGCAAATTTATGTATGAGTGTCATTTGTTGTGGACCGAAACATTGTTCAAGAGCAGAACAACATGTTTTACATCTGAATTGGCTCAGTGCTTAAAAGCCCTCGTGGCTCATGGTGTCCAATGGTCCTGAAACACTAATTTGGAGATACAGCATGAGATACACCCACATTACAGATGTTTGCGACATGCGTGGCACCAAAGCTGGATTACAAGCTGCAGGAAACCTAAGATTATGTTAAAATGATTCCTAATTAGTATCAATATCTGAATCATAAGACTTTTAATTGGTTCATTTGAGCACACAAGAAGATTCGTTCATGATTGCACCTGGTAAATGCAGTTATGCAACAGTGAAGAACAGAGTGCTGTTGGAGGAGATGCAGAGAGGATGAAGAGCGGAGGGTCATGGAAGTTAAAGGAAGCTAAGGAAATACATCACCATGACAACAGGGCCAAGGGAAAGATTCTCATGCTTAGAGGAACTTACAGTTTCCTCAGACAGAGCTTTAGGAAGAAGATGTTATAAAGTCTTCTCATCACATACATTTCCACGCACACATTGTACAATATTCAATATTCTTACATTTTCTGCCTTAAGGATGGGAATATGTTTCAGCGTGCAAGAGCTTTGGCTTATTACCACGAGAGGAATTCTTGTTGTAGACATTAATGTATAATATGTAAAGCAAGTCTAAGACTAGTAGTGTTATTTTAGTATTATTTATATACTATTGCAGTATTTATTAATATTTTGAAGGAAGCTTTCATTTTAGTTTTAGTAATTGTATGTACTTTTGTCATTTATTTTTACATAATTTTAGTGTTGGTCATTTTGGTACTTCAACCTCAGCTTATTTTATTTTAGTTCAGGGCAACATTTCTATTTTTTAAGTTATGTAAAACTTTTGTTTAATTTTCTTTCAGCTTTTTAATTAACTAAACATTTTGAATGGCTTTAGATTTAGTTAACAATAGCAACACTGGACTGTAGTTTGAAAAATGACAGTGTCAGTGACATTATGCATTTTTGTCCCATTAATTTATTAAAAAATACATCCAAAAAGTAACGCATAAAGTACACACAATGACTTAAAGGAATAGTTCACCCAAAAATGAAAATTTTGTCATCATTTACTCACCCTCAGGTCGTTCCAAACCTGTATGAGTTTCCTTCTTATGTTGAACACAGAAGATATTTTGAAGAACCAGTTGTTGGTCTCCATAGGCAAAGAAATACTATGGAAGTCAATGGGAACCATCAACTGTTTGATTACCAGCATTCTTCAAAATATCTTATTTTATGTTCAAATAAGAAAGAAACTCATACAGGTTTGGAACGACATGAGGGTGAGTAAATCATGACCATCAAATCATCAAATTTTTCATTTTTGGGTGAACTATCCCTTTAAATACACACTCTGTGATATGCATGATTTCATTTACTGATTTAAAAATTCAATTTGATATTTTTCAGGGGGCATGAAGTAAAAAATTTAAGGGTAATACAACTGTCCGGATACTGTAATGAATAAAACCTTATTAAATAATTTAGCATAATCATCTATTAGGAAAAATAGTATTTTAACAAAATTGCTTAACTGAGTATTAATATTTGAAGCATTTGCTTCAGTTAAAGAGGAGCTCTGTAGACCCTCATGGCTGTGTTGAGGTGTAGATTGAACCATTTACTTTCATCACTTTACAAACTAAATTCATTTGTGTCTGTCTGTGTTAGAACAAATCTGGAAGCTCTGCAGAAGAAACTGGAAGAACTGGAGCTGGATGAGCAGCAGAAGAAACGCCTGGAGGCTTTCCTCACCCAGAAGCAGAAGGTCGGAGAGTTAAAAGATGATGACTTTGAGAAGATTTGTGAGTTGGGTGCAGGCAATGGAGGAGTGGTCTTCAAGGTCTTACACAGACCCTCAGGCTTCATCATGGCCAGGAAGGTATGTTATGATAAAGCAAACTGCTACAACCAGGGAGGGTGTTAGTTTCAGCTTCAAGCATGCTAGAAAGGTCGCTGAAGTCCATTGATTGTCATTACCAGCCTTGAATCGATCGGATGCAGTTTAGAGCTGCTTGCCTCAGAGCCAGTGCTGCCTCTCCAATATCTCTTGAAGGCATCAGCTATTCGTGTCATCATGTCTTTTTATAGATTGTAAAAAGTTAGACATTACATCAATAAGGCATGACATTCTGTTCTTAGCATGCAGAATGGATACTGTGACATTTATTGCACATGTAATGCATGTAGTGAAGCTAATTGCACTTGATTCAATAGTTCTTCCTTGAGAGTCAAATGACACTTTTCCTAACAAACCTGTCCAAGAAAAAAAACTACTTTTAAGACAAATTACCACTAGTCCACTACCTAGAATGATGAAACAAATCATCCTTAACATGAGACCGGCTGAAGTGCAGTCAGCACACAAACTCCAAACAGCTCATTTACCGCATACATGAAACAAAGAATTGACAGTATGCATGCAGAGAAGCAACTCCTTATCAGCTAACTATAAAATGCAGACACCCTGGCAATTACAGAGAGAAGTTCTGCCTGGTACTGAGAGAAATTAATGAGGCTTTTGCATTATGCTTTGCCCTGCACTTATAAAGACAAAATCACAACATTGTAAACAGCATTATGAATGTAAAACATTAATATAAAGAAAAAATATGCGAATGTTTCTTCAATTTCAGTGGTTGATTTTTATTAAAAGTAATAGATTTCAACCTTTTTTCTTGTAATATAGTCCTCTTTTTCTTCTTTTCATGCAGTTGATCCACCTAGAGATCAAGCCAGCAATAAGGAATCAGATCATCAGAGAGCTGCAGGTGCTGCATGAGTGTAACTCTCCCTACATAGTGGGCTTCTACGGAGCTTTCTACAGTGATGGAGAGATCAGCATCTGTATGGAGAACATGGTACTGTCTGCTCTCAGTGTCAAACATAATACAGAGGAATATGAGAGTTTACCTATCTCTCGCTATATACCAGTATAAATATATATAATCTGTTGGATAGTTTGAAGTCTAAAGTTTAAAGTTTTTGAAGTTTAAAATAAATTAATACTTTTAATCAGCAAGGATTCATTAAATTGATCAAAAGTGACAATGAAGACATTTATAATGTTTAGATTATTATTTAAAATAAATGCTGTTCTTTTGAACTTTCTATTCATCAAAGAATCCTGAAAAAATAATGTTTCCACAAAAATATTAAGCAGCATAACTGTTTTAAACTTTGATAATAATATGAAAAATATATGTTTTAAATATATTCAAATAGAAACCTGTAAAAAAAAATAATTTATCAAATAAATACAGCCGTGGTGAACACAAGATACTTCTTCAAAAAAAAAAAAATTGCAATAAAACTATTGTACTGTAAAATAAAAACTCAGTATTTATTATTATTATTATTATTAATAATAATAAATACTTTTTATTTTACAATACAATAGGATTACTGCAATTGTAACATATTTCTTTGCTCATTTGATATACATTGAACAAAATTATAAACGCAACACTTGTTTTTGCCCCCATTTTTCATGAGCTGAACTCAAAGATCTAAGACTTTTTCTATGTACACAAAAGGCCTATTTCTCTCAAATATTGTTCACAAATCTGTCTAAATCTGTGTTAGTGAGCACTTCTCCTTTGCCGAGATAATCCATCCACCTCACAGGTGTGGCATATCAAGATGCTGATTAGACAGCATTATTATTGCACAGGTGTGCCTTAGGCTCACATTTTAGAGTGGCCTTTTATTGTGGGCAGCTTAAGGCACACCTGTGCAATAATCATGTTGTCTAATCAGCATCTTGATATGCCACACCCGTGAGGTGTATGGATTTTCTCGGCAAAGGAGAAGTGCTCACTAACACAGATTTAGACAGATTTGTCAACAATATTTGAGAGAAATAGGCCTTTTGTGTACATAGAAAAAGTCTTAGATCTTTGAGTTCAGCTCATGAAAAATGGGGGCAAAAACAAAAGTGTTGCGTTTATAATTTTGTTCAGTGTATATATGTATTTCATTTTATCATTCATTCATCCTTTCAGTATCCTTAAAAATCACTACCTTTGCTTTTATAGGTGCTTTATAAGTATTGCTGAATTAAAAAAAAAATCCATTAAAAATCTTGGTAACACCTTACTTAAAGCCTTTATGTATAATGTAGTATAAAAGTAGTTTTAATGCATTAATTATGCCTTGTAATGCAACTTATAATGCACTGTACAATCTCATGAATAATTGTAACCTACAGTTGACATACATTATAACACTTATCAATTCATTGTTACACCATGCATTTAAAATTTGGTTATAATTATTTCCAACAAGATATAATGTATTAAAACGCACATTATGAATAATTATAATGCATTATACAATTTAAGAACCCTTCATAATGCATTATACATAAAAGCTTTAAGTAAAATGTTACCAAAATCTTTTACTGTAGGATGGCGGCTCACTGGACCAGTGCCTGAAGAAAGCAGGCAAGATCCCAGAACAAATACTGGGCAAAGTTAGCATTGCGGTTGGTATCTCTGCAACCTTTCTCAACAATATCCTCAATGGTCTCTTCTGGACTGTTTCCAGAAAGCAAAGCTAAAGCAAAGTGCTTAATGTTTCTGGACCTGTTTCCTTTCCATTTATGCAGGTGATAAAAGGCCTGTCCTACCTTAGGGAGAAACACAAGATTATGCACAGAGGTGACTGGTGTTGTGTTATCTCAAACTGATATATCTGTTCATCTACTTTTTCTGTTTACACTGTATTTACTGAAGGGAAGACCTTGTCGTTGTCTTGCAGATGTCAAGCCATCTAACATACTGGTGAACTCGCGTGGTGAGATCAAGCTGTGTGACTTTGGTGTGAGTGGACAGCTCATTGACTCCATGGCCAATTCGTTCGTGGGCACCAGGTCCTACATGTCTGTAAGTTTATTCCCAACAAAAATACCAATTCTATCAAATCTTCTTACTAACATCCCATTCAATTCTTTAAAAAATTACCCATTGTAGTATAATATATATGTTAATATATTATTTAAAAAATGACTCATGATGACCCATGTTAATATAATATGTGACCCTGGACCACAAAACCAGTCTTAAGTCACTGGGGTATATTTGTAGCAATAGCCAAAAATACATTGTATGGGTCAAAATAATAGATCACATAAATCTAATCTTTCATTGAAGTAAAACAATTGAAAACGGGGAAAATCTCATTATGAAATAAATGTTTTTCTCTAGTATTTGTTGGCCACAATTATTGGCCCCCTTTTCTTCAGGACTTTTTGCAACCTCCATTTGCCAAGATAACAGATCTGAGTCTTCTCCTATAATGCCTGATGAGGCTGGAGAACATCTGACAAGAGATCAGAGACCATTCCTTCATACAGAATCTCTCCAGATCCTTTAAATGCCGAGGTGCCTCTCCTCTTCATTTTACCTCATTCATTTTCTACAGTGTTCAGGTCTGGGAACTGTGATGGCCATGGTAGAACCTTCATTTTGTGCTCAGTGACCCAATTTGTGTTGATTTGGATGATTTTCCTTATAGAAGATCCAACCACGCTAGTAAAGGCAGTCAGGTTTTGATTTTTTTATCTGTTGGTATCTGATACAATCCACAATGCCATGTATCTAAACAAGATGCCCAGGACCTCCAGCAAAAATATAGGCACACAACTGTAAGATTTACAGAATCTCAGACACTTTGATCAAACACCTCAGACACGTTGATCACCTGAGATACACCCAGACACTTTGATTAAACTGTAAGACTGGAAGATCTTCTGAGATATAGACAATACACAGCAAGTGCATTAACATACAGACATTTGTCTCAACATCCCACATAGGACTTATTTGCACCAAGGCTTGACTAATTTCTGCAATTTTCCAGCTGTGATCCTTTGGTTCTACTCATTCTGATGAATGATTATGGGAATTTGGCCTTTGTGTTGGCTCATATTTATACGTCTGTGAAACATTAAGTCAATTTCATGTTCCTAGCCACCCTTGTGTGTTAAAAATGAAATGTAAATATGAATGGGAATATGCTTCAGAGATATTTGATTTATCAAAAATGTATTAAAAAAGGTTGTTAATAATTATGGCCAACGTGTATTGGAGAAAAACATTTATTAAAAGCTGATTTCATTATATCCACACTTTCAGTTGTTTCAATTAAATGAAAGGCTAGAAGTTTTGAATGAAAAACCAAAATTATAATGCAGATTTATTTTCACTGCCTTTTTTGCTCATATTTACCAAGGGGCCTAATAATTCTGACCACAACTGTACTGATCAGCCACAACATTACAGCCACTGACAGGTGAATTGAATAACATTGATTTTATTGTTACAATGGTACCCATCAAGGGGTGGGATATATTAGGCAGCAAGTGAATTTCATGTGTTGGAAGGGCCAAATAGTAATGGCTAGACAACTGGGTCAGAACATTTCCAAAACGCCAAGTCTTGTGGGGTATTCTTGGTATGCAGTGAAAAGTGGTATCAAAAGTGATACCAAAAGTGGTGCAAGGAGGGATAACCACTGGTGAACTGGTGCCCAATGCACCCTGCCATACTACAAAAATGTTTAGGAATGGCTTGAGGAACTTGACAAAGTGTTGCCTACACATCTGTGGGATGTGCTGGACCAACAAATCCAATCCATGGAGGCCTCACCTTGCAACGTACAGAATGTGAAGGATCTTCTGCTAATGTCTTGGTTTCAAAGATATCACAAGACAAATTTGTCTTGTGATATCTTTAGGCAGGTGGTTTTAATGTTCTGGCTGATCAGTATCAGTGTATATACTTTAAAACAATCTTTTGACAATTCAATTCTTTTTTTTTTTTTTTAAGTATTTTATTTGTAAAACTTTTTTCTTTTTCAAAAACGTAACACTCCATAGCGTACTATATATGTATACTAATACAATATAACCAAAATAATTACCCCATACCACACTTCTCCCCTCCCCCCCCCCAACCCATACATGCACCAAATATTCATGAAAGTACTCTAATCACACATCACCATCAGAAGAACCTCACCAACAGAAGGACCAAGGAAATGAAAAATGGAAAAGAAAAAGTAAAAAACAGAAGAAAAACAAGATCGAATGACACGTAACACATTAACAACATAGCAAGGACATCCTTAAAATATAGACCTGAGATAGGGGCCCCAGATTTTGTCAAACATCTTTAATCTGCCCGCTCTAGGGAAATGTGTCCTTTCAAGCTTGAGGGCCGAAACCATTTCAGCTAACCATTTAAAAAAACTTGGGAGGTGACGTGGATTTCCACTCCATCAAAATCACTCTTTTGGCCAGCACCATGCCAAACATGAGGGAGAGTTGTTGAGATTGAGGCCAAATTAGAGCCTGGTCTGAACATCCAAATGGCGCTAAATCTGCGTCAATATTAATCTCATTTTCAGAAGCGTGAGAATAAAGCCTAAAAATACTTTTCCAAAATTCGGATACCTCAGGAGAGGACCAGAATATGTGACCATATGTCCCGTCAGTACTTTTACATCTATCACACAAAGGAGAGATAGAAGGGTACAACCTATTCAGTTTAGCTTTGGTATAATGTAATCTGTGCATCACTTTAAATTTTATAAATTGTAGTCTCACATTAATAGAGCGCAATTTAATTCTTCAGCCAGGACATGATTCCGTGGATGTTTGATTTGGAGTATCTCAGTACGGCCATCTGTTTGTTCAGGCTCCTGTTTTTCATCACATCGCTTCCTTTATGATAATGTTCATTTCCTCTCTCTATGATCCTTCTCCTTTTATCTCTGTGTCCATCTGTAGCCCGAACGCCTTCAAGGGACTCACTACTCTGTCCAGTCTGACATATGGAGCATGGGTCTCTCTCTGGTTGAGATGGCTATTGGACGCTTCCCTATCCCACCACCTGATGCCAGAGAGCTGGAACAAATCTTTGGTCAGCCCCTTGAGGGGGACCCCTCGGCCAGCGACGCCTCCCCTAAACCCAGGCCTCCTGGTCGACCCGGCAGCTGTGAGTGTCTGTTTGTTATCCTGTAACTTATGTTAAGAGGTGTTTCTGAGAATATAATGCATAATAAAGTGATTTTATTTTTAATCTGTTTGTCTTTTCAGCATACGGTCCAGACAGCAGACCTCCCATGGCTATATTTGAGCTGCTTGACTATATTGTCAATGAAGTAAGCTTTCAGTGGTGCTTAAAAGATCACTAAACAGTTTTATAGCAGTGAATTCATTAAAGTGAGGATGTATTGGCTGCTTCACTTAGCCTTAATGGAGCTGTTTCTCTTTTTTCAGCCACCTCCCAAGCTACCAGGTATCTTTGGTGCAGAATTTCAAGACTTTGTTAACAAATGGTAAGCAAAATTGCACTGTAGCTCACCTAGTAGAGCATGGCACATATAATGCCAAGGTCATGGGTTTGATTCCCAGGCAACTGGCATACTGATAAAAATGCAGAGTGCAGTGAAAGCTGCTTTGGATAAACTCATCTTCTAAATGCACAAATTCTTCTTCAGTGGTGCTTGCTGCTCCATCTAGTGGTTGAACTAAAACTAGTTTGGGGTTCTCCGGGGAATGCAAGTTTAGCAAGAGAATGCAGAAAATTTGAGTCTCACCAGGGTCTCCGTACTAGACAGACCAATGTATTAACATTTTAAATTCTGTCGCTCACAGTTTTTTTGTTTTGTGCAGTTTAATCAAAAATCCAGCAGAAAGAGCAGACCTCAAGCAACTGGTGGTAAGAACAATCATTTTCTTTCAATACTTATGTATATATTTTTCCTATGGCTGCACCTCATGCATCTAACGTCTAATCATTTTTTCCCCCCAGGTCCATCCCTTCATAAAGAACTCGGAGGCAGAGGAGGTTGACTTTGCTGATTGGTTATGCAGCACCATTGGGCTAAACCAGCCAGCAACTCCAACTCACAGCGTAGGAATGTGAGAGCAGCCATCTTTTTCTACGCCAGCCATTTAGTATTTCTTCACCTGCAACATCCCCAGTTCCACCGTACCAGTCAGTCCAGATGCCAACAGCAAACTACTGCCCTCTTGAACACACTCCTTATTTTAGATGTTGTCTTGAGCATTAACTAGCATACTGCTGTTATTAACAATGCATTACGGCTCCAATAGGTCGCTTGAAATCTGTTCTGCCAAATATTGGTTGTTAAATGCCGATAGCATCCATAAGACCAGAAGACATTAAATGCTATGGATCCTCCTAAATGTCAACTTGCTGTGATCATGTTATTCTTTTGAAACTCTTAATTTCAAAGTTTGTGACTGCACTGTCAGCTACCCCTGAAGTGGTTACATTATTTCATTGTAATGTTTTGTGTTCTGCTTTATTTCCATGGTGAATTTGCAGCCTTTAACTCACAAAGTGAGAGAAAAACAGTCATAACTTATACAAACTTGTATATTATAATAAAAGATTTATTTAACAGATGACAACTAATGGAATGTGGCAGTGCTTACGTTGTATGCAGTGGATTAAAAAGGACAGATTTATCAGAATTTTCAACAGCTGTTTTATTTGAAAATCATTTGTGAACTCCATAGTCTGTTCATGAGGTTTAAGCTTGAGCTGGAACAGGAGCAGCTGCAGGCTTCTTGGCCTTGGTCTTCTTCACAACCTTCTTCTTCTTGGGTTTCAACATCTTGGCCTTGATCTGCACACAAATTTACAGATTTAGAAATTGCTTAGCATGTTTATCAGACTATAGTGACACTTGTGGGTCATGAGGGTACTTACGTCAGGGTTGTGTGCCAGGATAGCACGGCGACGGGCTGTCTTGGCATAGGGGTTGAGCTTCATCATCACTCTCAGGTTCTTCAGAGGGTTCTTCTTGAGTATTCTGCGATGAATCTTGTGTCTGCAATTGTGTAAAGAAACTTGTTACCCTACTTATGTAGACTTAAAAAAAAAAAAAAAAAAAAGACTTTCAAAGCAAGATGGCTCAGGACTTCCTATTCAATCATTAGTCAGAAACACGGACCTGAAGTAATCTCTATCACTGCAATGATATGTTGGCAATATAAATGATCAAAGTAACCAAAACTTACTTAGCAGGACGAAGTGCCTTCTGGACCTCCTCGCTCTTTAGGATTCTGTGCAGATCTGTGTTGTTCATTTTGTGCATGGGCAAGCTGGAACATGACAAGACAGCAAGTCCAAAAGTTTATGCTTAACATCTACACATTTTAATATCTAGGTGTGCATCTGAACAAGTGGGGTTTCAGACCACCTTATTTTTCACTCAGAACTTTGATAATATCATTGTGTTCAAAAACACGGACTGTAAAGTATAAGCTCATCACTGTTGTTCAACGCACAACCAGACAAGGATAAGACCGAAGGGTAAGGGAACTCACTTGTAGTCCACTTTAAGGGAGGAGGCTTTGCGCCAAGTGCCATAGAGGTCATCCAGTTTGCGGAATGCACCCTCAGTCCAAATGCAAAAGCGTCCAATGTGTCCACCTGGAGCAAGCTTCAACAAGTCCAGTCTGCTCACGGACTGCAGTGTGATGCCTGAGAAAAGAGACCTTGTGGTTCATGATTTTGCAATCATCTGGATCAACATAAATTTTGCGTGATACAAGTTAAGGATCAGAACTTCCACTGAAATCATAGGATTCATAAACACGGACCAGAAGTGGATATCATCATGTTTAAAGTGTGTTCACGTGAAGCAACTGCAAAACACAAGATCTCGTACCAGGGATGTTTCTGAAAGCTCGTGTAACACCGTTGTCTTCGTTGTAGATGATGCATGGTCCCTTACGCTGGATACGCCTTCGGTTCCTCATCTTACCCTTACCGGCACGCATTCGCTGAGAGGCGTAAACCTAGAGACCAGAAATATGCATCAAAAAGACTTAATGCTGGTAAAGCGCAACATTTTAAGTCAGAGTTTGACAGTAGCTCACCTTCTTGATGTCGTTCCATGCCTTAAGCTTCTTCAACAGAAGCACGGCCTCCTTAGTCTTCTTGTATCCTTCAACTTTATCATCAACAACAAGTGGGACCTCAGGAATCTCCTCAATGCGGTGACCTGAAACATTTGCCATTTGTTTTAAGTCAGTGGAACCAAAAAAACAAAAACAAAAAAAAGTTTAAAGGGGTCATATGATGCTGCTAAAAAGAACATTATTTTGTGTATTTGGCGTAATGAAATGTGTTTATGCGGTTTAAGGTTCAAAAAACACATTATTTTCCACATACTGTACATTACTGTTTCTCCTCTATGCCCCGCCTTTCTGAAACGCCTCGATTTTTACAAAGCTCATCGGTCTGAAAAAGCGAGGTGTGCTGTGATTGGCCAGCTATCCAGTGCGTTGTGATTGGCCGAATTCCTCAAGCATGTGACGGAAATGTTACGCCCCTTCCCATACTGTTGATGCCGTGTCCCGGCCGGAGCGATGATTCAAAAACATGAAAACCCATTATAAACGAGGCATTTGTTGCATCCAGTGGGGACATAATTATGGATTATAATGACTTATACTGTCTTTTTACGCGTTGCATCGCGCCGCATAAACATAAAACCATGTCTGCATTTGTGATCGGAGAAATGACAAACAACAAGCCCTACTCTACACTGCCCAAAAAACTCGCTTTAAATTTATAAAATATAAAAACTCTTTAAATATTGAAGCGTACTTACAGTCTTTGAGTCGGTGGGCTGAGTGAGCAGAGGCGGCGGGCTGTATTAGTATTATATGTAGTATTTCTTTAGCAACCGGCATGGATCAGCTCCAGGCATGACAAAGCAGATATCGTCCTCTTTTGGAAGACCAAACAAAGTAGTTTCGCTTTCACAACGAATCACACAGCGCATTCACAGAATAAAAGTTACGCCTTCTTTCTTTGCGTGAACATTTGGGCGGCGTTATGCAAATCTTCCCACATAGTGATGTAGATATGTGGGGGCGTGTTAGAACGAGCCGTTTTAGGTAGGTGTGGCTGACTCAACTTTTATAAAGAATATCTCTTTGGATTTGAGACTTTAGTCTTTGCAACTTTACAGATCTTCTTTATGCACCAAGAGCTTGTAACACTCCAAAGAGAAAGGAAAAATTGAAAATCGCATCATATGACCCCTTTAAGGTAATAGCAAATATTCTATATTTATTGCTGTGCTCAGCATTCGAAAGGGAAAAACCAATAGTTGGTTCGGCCCTTCTGCAAACTGGGTTTCTATTGCACTGAATTGTGAGCAGAATGCCAATAAATGGCAACCCACATAATATATACAGTGCATACAGGCACTGTCATTATAAGGACCCCAACTTTTGGATTATGAAGCTCTGGACACAATGTGTTCACTCACCTTTGGCCATGACCAGGGCAGGCAGAGCAGAGGCAGCCAGGGCAGAGCAGATGGCATAACGTTTCTGGTTAACGTTGACCCTGCGGTGCCAACGGCGCCAGGTCTTTGTGGGGGCAAACATGCGACCACCACGACACATCTACAGTGGAGTCAAGGGTCAACATTTCACACTAAAGGGCCTGTTCACACAAAAGTGAATATTCAGTGTGAAAATTTGATGCATTAAGCATTTTGAGTTGAATCAATGACTGTTAATGTGTGTTCAGACGATACAAACATTTGCATGTCGTCAATGTGACTTCCCCTTCAAAGAAAGCTGTTCTAATGTCTTTTCCATTGCACTACAAAAAAAAATGGCCAACAATTTTGCGCTTTTGGTCACATGCCAAGAGCTGCTGCTGTTACAAAGTTTTGTCGGCACGAACAGCAGAGGAAGAATCCTGAACCAGCTCTCCTGTCTGTGCTCTTGTTTTTTTAGCGTTACTTAATAATCACCATAGTGAATACAAAAATCTGAACTGCTTTGAAAACATGTAAATTCTGTTTGAATAACTTTGTGATAAATGGGTTAGAAACAAAGTTGCAGAGAGCTGTTTGTGTATCATAGTAACTGGGGTAAACCACTGTATTTCTGCATTTCCCGTCTGCTGTTTTTTACTCATTGGTCTGAACAAACAAATCTAATGCGAAAATCAGATCAAATTACTATGCTGAACATTTGCGTTGGTGTGAACAGGCCTTAATTTTTAAATATGTATCTGTGAACCAGCTCAGTCTTAATATTCGTCAACCTTCCACACCAGCATGAGACAGCAGGCAACTGTCGCTGTGCATAGAGTAAGACGCAAATTACACCATCACAGCAAGGGTTGCTTATAATCACGTTTTGACAAGTTGTTCAAGTAAATGTTGCGATAGTTTAGGATACATTTCCGAAAGCACCCTGTCCGGAGCGGTGGGTGCCACCACCACGCACACGGGGGATACGGGCCACGGCTCTTCCTGTGCCCCAGGACTCAGCGCTGGTCTGGTGACCTGAAACGACACACAATTTGGAGTTATGTTTGACCATGTCATACCGTGGCAAAATATCATAGACAGACAAATGCCTCTCAGAACTTCCAACATAATCAGTCGTCAGAAACACGGACCTTGAAGTGGAATGTCATCATTGAATTGACACTTCAACTTTGTGTATTTAAAACAACACTCACCGGCCAGTGCACTGACAGCGTAGGGCTGGCGCTTGTTCTTGCGCATGTTGGTATGCACAAAGTTCACAACATCAGGGCGGATGGGAGCCCTGAACACTGCAGGCAGAACCACATTTTTGCCAGATGTCTCCCCTTTCTCGGAGTAGACCGTGATTAACGGTCGGGCACAAGCCTAAAACAACAAAAACAGAGGTATGAATAACTTGAGATATTTCCATTTACAAGTTTATTCATCAGTTATAACATTGAATCTTGCTCAGTCTCGGTTTTCATCAGCCTTCTGTGCCAGCATGAGACAGCAGGCAACTGTCACTGAACACAGAGTAGGACGCAAATTACACCATCATAGCAAGAGTACCAGATAAAAACTTGGGAGGAAAAATAAAAAATTATATTAAGGTGCAAAACATTTAACTATAGAGTAAGTATAGTGGGAAACTGCTGTAAATTAAAGTGATAATTAAGTGTAAAATCAACAGTGTTGTTATTTGTTTATCCTAAGGTTGTTCTAACTTGTATGACTTCCTTTTACTATCATAAGGATGAATAAACGATTTAGTTATTTTCAAGTGAATGATCACTTCAATACTTGTCTATTGCAAACCTAAAATGAAGCGTCTGCGTTCAAACCTAAGACTAGGCCACAACACGCAAGCTAACATTTCCAACTATGTTCTTACATATGATCTCAAGGCTGTTAAATTCTATTTAGATATAAGGGTTTCTAAAAGGACGGAATAGCATTTCTTTAAAATCGTGTTTGAATTTCGAGGCATTAACCTCTAAACGGAGTCAACTGCCAAATCTTGACTACACGTGCGTACACGCCGCACTAGATAAAAATGGCTCCCGAGAGCTGCGGTTAGTGCAAGCATAGAAGCTAACGTGTAACATTTCATCCAAAAACCAACTGCTGGTTAATTATATGCACGTAAAACAGTATAACGCGCTTAAGGCCGTGAAATAATATTCTCTGT